AAATTATTTTCCATGCAGATTGTTGGTAATACAATATACTCGCTTCATTTCAACATGTACTTGCCACTGCTCGGACGCATGGTAGCAGGATTTGGAGAAGGATATGCGTCAGCGATTTGGACAAAACTAGCCAGAATCACAACTGAAGAAGAAGGTACTCGATACTTTGCACTGCTAAAAGTATGCTTCTTTTTTGGAGTTGTCTTAGGACCAGCACTAAACCTCTTTCTAAAAGAGTTTGATTTCTACATCGGTAACTGGCACATTGATTTCCGCACATCCCCGGGATTTTTCATGGCTTTAATGTGGATACTAGCCACTGGTATCATGTTTGTATTTGTCTATGATCTTTCCGACGAGATGAGAAAAAAGAAAGGGTATGAACCAGTTTCAGACGGTCCAAGTGAAGAACAGTTTTCCGAAAAAGAGCAACTCCAAGAAGCGTATAGCATGGAAATCCCAAAGGACAAGCACGGTGATATGACGGCATCTCCGTTCATAAATGACGACGATGTCAAAACCGAGGAAATAGCAAAAGACGACAAGGGTGTATTCCCAGACGACTCAACGAAATCCAGGAGTGCGTCATTCCGCGATGCTCTAATAGATATGTTTGCCAAATTTCACGTGATTGTTGTGGTATACTCGATATTTTTCATTTATATCCTCCATACGTCTCTTCAGGCAATTACACCCCTGGTTGCTGAGCGCATGTTACACTGGAGTGAAGACAACGTCACTTTTCTATTTACAATCTGGGGTGTAGAAATAACCATATTTGGAATTATTCTCTTGATTCTGTCACCAAAGATTTCAGATCGACTCCTCCTTTTGATCTCCGCTATTTTTGGCAGCCTTGCATCCATGGGTATTATTCCACTGGCATTCTATTCCTCTATGTCTAACAGAACTTTCTATTTCTTGTTAGTAACAATTGCCTTGGATGGGATTGCATCAACTGTTATCAATGCAATTGGTCGTTCTTTAGTTTCGAAGCACACTAATCCAGGCAATCAAGGCAAGGTGCAAGCCATAATGACTGTATTGAATAGACTGGCTTTACTTATAGGGCCATTAATTGGTAGCAGTCTGTTTACACATCAAAAAATATTTGCAATTATTCTATCAGGATCACAGATCCTTGAATTGGTCTTGGTTATTATAGCTTTCAACAAACTTAAAGTCAATCTCAGTAAATGTTGACGCGATTATGATTAAACTGGTGAAATAAATATAACTGGAACACTAGCTCCAATCAGAAATTTGAGCCAAACTTGAAGGTCAGTTCCATCGCGAGTGTAAATGGGCCTTTAAGAACTAGACCTTAGATACAGATACAGATCGGATGCGAATGTCTCCTGACAACACCTCTGAGCAGTAGACACTGTTATAGACACTTTTTTTGACTGGTGAAAGATAATTAAAATATATCTTCAAGTTATAAAGAATATTTGTGGACGTTTTAAAATTTAATTCTCCATAAATAAATTAAAGAAATAAAAAGAGACAGTCAAAATAAGTACTATAGTTAAAACATTTGCGTCTTTATGCGATATACAAATATTGATTAAACATTCATTTCTTTTGAATTTTCTTCATGAATTATTAATGAGTATTTTAAGTACTAGATAAAACATGAGCGGCCGTGTTGTATCTGATATGCAAACTTGTATATCAGATACAGATCGGATGCGAATGTTTTATCGTACTCAAAAAATGACCCATCTTATGAGTTCATTGGCGAAGTAATTTTAAAAATAAACATTGTCTAAGCCAAGAAAATCAAAGCTGAAGTTTATGTAAATCAGGACAAATCTTTATCCAATTTACAAACATTGATTAAACATTCATTTCTTTTGCATTTTCCTCGTGAATTATTAATGAATTTTTTAAGAACTAACAAACGTAACTGTATGATAAAAGCAAGTATACTCAATAAATTTTCGTAACAAGCAATAGTTGGGCGTTACCTTCTGCTATGTTCGCTGTTGCAAACCCCTATTAATTATGCGGACACTTCTTTAAAGCGAACAGACTAGTCCCGACTCCCGAAGGATTTCACTTAATAAGGGTTGGGCTGTACAGGATTACCTTTTTGTATACACCCTAGCCAGACCTGCATACAAGACGACTGCCAAACAAAACTGCTCTAATGTTGGGTAAGAATTGCCCAACTTGGTAAAATTTCTGCCCAAATTGGGGACAGTTGTCTCTCGCCTTTAATACTTATCGCGTCTAAACAGTATCATGTAGTATTTGACACAAACCTCTGGAGCACACAGCTAGGCTAGCTTGCCTTCATGCAGAGTTGCAAAACTACCGCTCAAACAGGAATTAATAACGATAACACAATTACAAACTTCAAAAGTGTCATTGAATTAGGTAGCAGAATTGTCATTTCGTAAGGAAACAAACTTTTAAGGCAAAACTCATACCGGGCATTTACCGCTATATTGCATGCATGAGCATTGAGCAAATATCTCGTCATGGTCATTAAACATGTCTTATTTAATTATGCTCTGGATATCTGTTGAGCACTAATCATGTATGTAAGTGTAAAAAACGAAACCTTTATTAATCAAGCTATTGTCGTTAAGGTCCAGTTACACGTGCGATTTTTTTCTCGCGCCGGCAAAGCAACGCCTTTGCAACGGGTTAACTTTCATTGCGCGAGTGAAATGGTGACACGAGCAATGATAGCTTAACCGCGTCGCAACTATTTGCATGAAAATCCGGGCACTAGTGTTTGCAATTCGCAAACGTCACTGACAGCAACATGGCGTCGAAAAAAAACTTGTGGTCATAGCTGCAATGCTTTTGCTGGAAGAAGATGACGAGCATTGATTGATGTTCTTTTTAAATACATGTACGTTGAAACTTTTCAGTAATTCTGAATTTGTTATTCTTTATAATGACTTAATAGTGTTGTTTCATTAAAAGAGCATATTAACGTTGTATCCTCGTTTTTAGTTTTGCCATTTTTAATATTTACATGAAGTTCATTCACAAATTATCACGTTGAATGTCATGTAATAAGAAAAGGTGCCCTACAAAAAGTGATTGTGGGGACATTTGGGGGCTCTGCCCCCAATCTGACAAAAAGACAGCATTCACTACCTCTAAGGTAACCTAGTTTATCGCACGCACGGAATTCTGGTCACTGACAAGCTCGTCGCGCACGGAATTCTGGTCGCCGACCACAGTGCCTAGCGGCAAGTCTTCTTAAAAAAAGCTCCACTGCATGATTTATAGGTCTGCTGCCTTGCTCGCTCGCTTAAGGCTCGCTCGCTGCGGCAGCAATTATTAAAAAATAAGTATTTCCAACAGGGCTTTTCAATACCTATTTACAAGTAAATAAGACAAATATAATTATAAATTTTTAAAAGTTAAAATTACTACAGTTGTAGAATTATATGATGCATTAGAAGCTTAGAGTTAAATCCTACAATATGAACAAAAATGGATCACGAGTTAAAATAGTGTTCAAATATATTTATCTTGATCTTCTTCTTAAATTATCCAAACGGGAGTTGTTTTAGTTTGTTGTCCAAGCTATTCCACAGTCTAACAGCTCTATACCGAAAACTCCTCTGACCCGATACAGGTTTGCATCAGGGAATATGCATATGAGTGTTGGGCGAAACCAAATAATTAATGTTCTACATATAACTTCGTCATGCATAAAAATTACTTCTGTTCTGTTTTACGTACCCGCGTGCATGCATGGGTTCTGCATATACAGGGTGTCCCCCCCCTCCCGAAAGTATACATTTTGAAATTTGCATGCATTTTGAACAAACCTTTGTTGGAATTTGAATGCCTTATTTTGAACCCATGGGTGATAAAATAGAATAGAAGTGATCATGAATTTCATGCATGACGATGTTATTTAAAATTTTAACTAAGTTTGATATTTTTTATATGCATGCAGTTACGCTCCTTAATGTTAGAAACTATTTTAAATTCCCAGAAGTACAAAATCTTGTACTTAACAAGAATACAGTTATTTATTGAGTCTCGATTTTCAATACACCCTGTATCTTACGCTTCTGTGAGTTCAGTCTAATGCTCAGCCACCCAGGCATTCAGATTGTTACAATAGGAAAATTTCAAAAGGTACTGTACAGGGGATCCCAAAAGTACCCTTTCTAGAAATAACGTAGAATTTGAATGCCTTAGCACTAAGCTGACTACAAAGATGCGTAAAGTATTGACAGGGTGCATATATTATAAATATTGACTTACTTAGAAATTAAAATATCTTTGTACAGCGCACGATTTTCCGATCTTGGGAATTTAAAACAGCTTCTTAAACAATTTCTTTATGTATATGTTTACTTATGTCAAGCTTTTATGCACTTGTGAGTTCAGCAGAGTGTTGAGGCATTTAAATTCTAACAATACGTTATTTCTACCGTATATAGAGGGTACTTTTTGGGGGGGACACTGTGACGAATTTAAATCCGCCTGTGTGGGTGTCGGCAAATATAACTTCATATACAAAAAAAAAGTTTAAATATATTTTTCTATAATTTGTCTGATATATCACAGTGTAAATCCTATACTATTGTTTTAACTGTCTCTCAAGCTACGATACTTGCGTCCTTTGGCGAGTTGTTCCTTCCCGTTGTTTCTTCAGCTAGTCCTGACAATCCCGATTTTTAGAGCGCTCGTTAAGTTTACCAGGGGTTTTGATAACAGTCCCCGCTTTCAATTCCACTACACCGATCTCCAAATAACTTCGTCTTCACACGTTTACAGCTGAGTGTGTTGCTCAAGTCACTAAAGACTATACCAGAGCGTTTGATCATTGAAGACCCACGTAGTGTATTGCTCAAGTCACTGAAGACTATACCAGAGCATTTGATCATTGAAGATCCACCTTTCCCATATAATGTAAAGTGCGACGTTGATAACGTATATTTCTTTCGTTTTACTTTATCAAGTTATTTCATCAGTGTGTAGACCACTCCTTAATCGGTTCTACTTCAACACGAGTTCGTTCGTTCTGCTTCAGTGTCTCGCTGATTATCGCCTTTTATTCTCTCGCAGCTTGATTACATATTCTATACGCATGTGATTTTTCATTCTGATGACTCCCAGCTAGGGCTACAGACACCTTGTATAGTGCTATGCATTCAAATTCCAACAAAGCCTGAGTTCTAAAGGTCTCGTTTTTTTATTCACCCTGCGTTGATGCATGTACAACATTCTAGATTAATGCCCCCCCCCCATTAATACAAATGTTGCCCAGGTGCACAACGTCATTAAACGCATCATTATGTAACTGTTATGTCATATATAATTATCTTATCTGTATCATTTCATTCCTATGTTGTGAGTTGTCCTCTTAATCATTAAACTATGTAATAATATATATTTTGCTAGAAAAGTTTCTTACTGAAATATTTAACATTCTATAATACGTTTCTTATTACGAGTTTAACACTGACTGCAATAAATTTATGATTTGTTTTTCTTTTGATTTTTTTACCAAGCCATTGCAGGATCATGCAATTTCAGCTTCTGCATGTTTTTAGGTGTTTCAGTTCTGACTATCAAGATGTATTGCCTCATGATCAATTTGCCTTTTGTGGAGTATGAGTCGGTTCTTACATTTTCTGTCTAACCGGTCGACATGATAAACTTTTGCATTTTGTATTATCAGCTTATCTGCAAACAACTGAGAACTTACTAGGCTACCAAAAGCGAAAGACGAAAACGAAAAATCCCTTCCAATTGTGATATCCCATAATCCAAATAACTTTGAAATCATTGAATATGATTAAACAAACTTTGAAATCATTGAAGATGATTAAACAAGTCTTTCGAGTTCTTATAGACAACTCAGAAAAATAAAACAGCTCCAAAAAGTACGACTATTGATGATAATAAGCCGTCGCCGGCCAAGACGCATTCAATTTAGGCAAGATTTGCTTCTGAAGATACAGTGGGGGGTTCCCAGGCTCTTCCCTCGTGTGTACAATGTATTTTTACACAAAACACCACTATATGTGCATCAAGTAAGGATTTACATCAACGTTGGAATTGATTATGTTATATTAGCCAAGTGAACATTATTTTAATATTTTGTGTGACGATTGTGACCTCCTTTTAAATTTAAAACAGCTTCAACTCTTCCTGACATAGATTCAACAAGCTTCAAATTGATGGTTTAAAGTTATTCCAGCATTATTGATTAACGACATCCCATAGGTTGGTTGTCTTTGCTTGTGGGATTATGTTTCACTTTCTCTCTGCAAGGGAATAGTGCACAGCGAATGTCGCACACAGTCAAAATTGAGGGAGTAGCACACACTCAGCAAATATAGCACACAGCCAAACTGGGGGAATAACATACGGCAGCGAATATCGCACATAGCCAAATTGAGGGAATATAGCGGGAAGAGCAAACGCTCACAGCAAACAGAGCCAAATTAAGGGAATAGCACACAGCAAATATAGCATGCACACGGCTAAATTGAAGAAATAGCACACAGCAAATAAAGCACATGCACTGTCACATATTGAGGGAATAACACATGTACACAGCAAAATAGCCCCACAGACACGAAAGGGAGTTTAAAGAACTGTACAACAAAACCCCCCATGACAGGCAAATTGAAAGCCAATTAAGGGTCTAGCACGCAGCTGAGTTGGGATTAGCACACAGCAAACCCCCAATGCAAAAAAATCCAAGTTATAAGAATCCAACAGACTCAGAGTTAGGTAATTTCGAACCCCAGCGTGCTACAAACGGGGAAAACAACGAAACATGCACCCTTAATAAACATGCAAAACCCTAAACAAACCGAAATGCAATGAAGCAAGCAAGAATATCAATTAAATAGCACACAATAGCTCCAATTAGGCAACGCACGAGGAAGAAAAGAGGCACCCCAGACACTGAGGCCCCGTTTACACTATACCGGATTGCATCGGAGCGTAGCGATTTTCATACCGGATTCGGCTGCTGTTTACACTACGCCACAGTAATCCGGTACGCGACGCGGAGCAAAAATCACTCCGCTTTGGAGGTGATATGAAAAGTAATCCGCCGGTATGTGCCGGAGCAGTGTACTGTAAACAGGCTAATCCGGTACGCTTCGGTACAAAATCGGTTTTGGCGTGTATGTTATAACATTGCCGCCTTTATTTGCTCGCTTTTACAATACTTTATAGCTGTTGTTTGTTTCGCCTTGCAACCATTCACTATTTCTGCCGAATACAAGTAAAGAAAACGATAATAACATTGACTTTTCGCTTTCGAAAGAGCAAAATTGAAAGAAATAGACATTTTGGATTAGAGCGAAACGAAGCAACGTCTGGCGATCAAGCTTTTTAAACAAAGTTATACTTTACAAAGAAAACGGGTGTTACTTCTTGTTTTTAATAAATTTTGGTATATTGGCTACTTGTTTCCATGGCGACAGTGAAAGACATGAGCTGGCAACAGAGCGAAGCGGCATAGTGTAAACACCCTTGATTTTTTACTTCGGAATAAAAATTAATCCGGTATGAAAAGTAATCTGGTATAGTGTAAACGGGGCCTAAAACTAAAACATCTGCACCGAAGAAAATAGCTTAATGGGTATAACAGGACACAACTCTGTCAGTGAACATGTAAAGAATGATTGACACAAGTAAAGCTAACGAATATTGGCCCATAATCTATAAAACGGCCATAAAAAATGCCCCCAAAGCACTAAAGCGTAAGAAAATGAAAAATTTGGAGACATGCAAAGATTAACAGTCCAAAGCCGCCAAAATAGCTCGCTCGCACACATGCCGAAAAACACGAAGACTATTAACGTGCATAAACATGCAACTGAAACGAAATGGCAACTAACTTGCGGAGCTGGAGCAACAGGGGCTTGAACTTGAGGGCGCTGAGCGTTCTCGAACACATGGACAGTTCCGCTTGTACGGCTTCTTGAGCTTTCTGAAGGCCCCTAGTAACAGTTGAGCAACGCCACAGATTGGACAGGATCAGCCATGATAGTACTGTAGGAGAAATAGTCGAGCGGCTCAGCTACGGCACGGAGACAGAAGAGCCTCGAATCCTTGAGTTTGTTGACAACAACCCGCTGCTTCTCGTGGCAAACGGTCATTGGCAAAAAACTGAACCTAACTACCCATATTTAAGTGATTTCTCGATCCCTAGCTATAGGGCCTTCACTAATCAGTTTAAAGGGAGCGTAAAAGTCACTGAACTGCCCAAATCCCCCTTCCGGCCCGGCATTTTAACTTTCAATCCCACTGTGAATATAATCATAAAATTTACGATTTTGGCTCGACTCAATTACGGCAGAAATGCACAAGTTGAGTCCGACCAGAGTCATTTTTCGTATCGGAACTCGAGTCGCTGAAGATATATAGTGACTCGAGTCCGAGCGAATCACTCGAACGGGTACAACACTGCCTTGTTTAACAAAGAAAGTCTGAAAACAAATCAATTTTAGCAACAATTAGGGCCTTCAACGTTATTATATTTGTAGATCTAACCATCATGTGAGACGGCTTTGTTAATAATTTACAGAGCCGCCGAGATCGGGGGGGGGGCAGGGGGGGCAAATTGCCCCGGGCCCCGAGGTGCTGGGGGCCCCTGAAAAATTTTTGTTGGGTGCCAGTCTTTTTTCTGTGTTAAATATTTCCGCGCAAAGGACAATATATCTGTTTTATTGGGCTAAGTACCGAAATTATGCATAAAAAATGAGATAAAGTCTCTGGAAAGTGCGTGCAATCTACTTGTCCGGAAAAAAATTTTCACCCCTAAAATGGTACACTGACCGAAATTTTCGTTTTTCATCTCTTCATTTCTCCGCGTTTATAGTTATATAATTTCAGAGGTCCCACAAAGAAAGTTTCACAACAACCATATGCAACGTTAATTGCTTTTGCTGAACAAAAAATTTCCAAATGACTACATCCGTGGCGCCATATCTACTGTACAGTGTGTCCCAAAAGACCAAAACTATTGAACTGATAACGTATATTGTTAGAATTTGAATGCCTCAGCAGTTTGCTGAACCCACAAGTCAAGTGCATCAAAGCTTGACATAAATAGTAATAAATAATGATAAATAAATTTTATGCATAAAGAACTGTTTAAGAAGCTGCTTTAATTTCCCAAGAGCCGAAAATCGTGCGCTTTACAAAGATATTTTAATTTATTAATAAGTCAATATTGAATATATATGCACCTAGCTGTCAATATTTTACGCATGTTTGCGTGCATCTCAGTGCTATATCGGGCATTCAAATTTTAACAAACGTTATTTGAATGGCCTGTATAGTCAAAGCAATTTAATTTTTTTTCTTGGGGGGGGGGGGAATGGGGAGCTTGATCTTAACTGCTTTCAGGTACTTATGGAACTTTAATTATTAACTTTAATACACAGTAGCCTGAAACCCCGAGAAGAAGGCAATATAAACAAATTATAATGACAATTCATGTGAGACTACATTGATTATGAATATCCCTTATTGATTCCATTCTACTTGAAAGCAGCCCAGATGTCCTGTTTGTGAAAAGTTGCATGCATCAATATATAGTTTTATTTATTTAGTCTTATTATCGCTATAATCTCATGTCTTTAAATTAATTATGAAAAAACATTGAGTTTCGTAAGTCTGTGATCTCCGATTTGGCACCTAATATATAGATATGTGATAACAAAACTGAGGAACTTGTTCTAAATGAATCGCAATTGATAAGCTAGTTAAAATTTGAGATCCTTATAAAATAGGATTCCTGATAGTGTTTTCCGTTCAGTGGCGGCCCCAGCTCGAGAATTGGGGGCCAATATTCATATATTCGTGTTCCCAGACCATAAAAACAATCGATTTCAAAAGAAATGCAGAACACGTATATATGAATATGTGCCCCCCCCCCCAAAAAAAAAAATATCGAGCTGGCGGCGCCACTGCAAGTTCATCAGATTTCGTTTCGGTGTATTTAAAACGCCAGTATATTCATCATGCTATTACCCCAAGTGTTCGCAATGCAATTTTATTTTAGCTTTGTATATATCCTTATCTAATTTGATTATGGTGATCCGCACGCCCTTTATTAACACATATAAAATTCAATTGGTGAGACCTCGTGTTGCGCTATAGATGGGATCTTAATTCGTCAAGTGAGATAAAATTTTCCTCATGCATGAAGGCTTTATCCCACCAGATGGGGAAGGATATATTTGCCTAT